AGAGGTGGGCTTCAGTCTATAGAGCATGAGACAGAGAGGTGGACTTCAGCCCACAGAACATGAGACAGAGAGGTGGGCTTCAGTCTACAGAGCATGATACAGAGAGGTGGGATTCAGCCTACAGAGCATGAGACAGGTGGGATTCAGCCTACAGAGCATGAGACAGGGAGGTGGGCTTCAGTCAACAGAGCATGAGAGAGGGAGGTGGGCTTCAGTCTACAGAGCATGAGACAGGGAGGTGGGCTTCAGCCCACAGAGCATGAGACACAGAGGTGGGCTTCAGCCCACAGAGCATGAGACAGAGAGGTGGGCTTCAGCCTACAGAGCATGAGACAGAGAGGTGGGCTTCAGCCTACAGAGCATGAGACAGAGAGGTGGGCTTCAGCCTCAGCCTACAGAGCATGAGACAGGGAGGTGGGATTCAGCCTACAGAGCATGAGACAGAGAGGTGGGCTTCAGCCTACACAGCATGAGACAGAGAGGTGGGCTTCAGTCTACAGAGCATAAGACCCGGAGGTGGGCTTCTGTCTACAAAGCATGAGACAGAGAGGTGGGCTTTAGTCTACAGAGCATGAGACAGGGAGGTGGGCTTCAGTCCACAGAGCAAGTAAAGCTGAGTGCCTGCTGGCATTCCTTGGGGAGCTAGCTTTTCTGACCCACCAAAACAGAGCTGAGTGCCCTTTGGGCCTTTATTGACAGCTTTGTAACATTGCCCAAGCAGGACAGAGGCCAAAGGACCACATGGCTATGAGGCAGAGGACCAGAGAGAGGCCTACCTGCAGCCACATATCTCCTGATCCAAAACAACTCTGTACACCGAGTTGTTTCTGCTGCTGAAGTGTAAACTGTTAATTTCCCTAACAAACCCCACAATCTTAAGTATTGTCTCTGAGTTCTGTGCAGAGACTGCAGTGAATTACTAAGCCCAGCAGAGAAGTAGAGCATTGTGTGGCAGGGACGAAACTGGTAAAAGAACTGGTGAAGAAGGCTGGAAGGTGGAGGCGTGTCTGACCTCTGCCTCATAGTAATCAACGTTGGGCTGATATCAAGTTTGATTCTCCCTGGTGAAACCAGACACCGTCCCCACGTCATTTTTATAGGTATATTAACTCACTGGCAAATACGTGTTTACTTTAGGCACTGGAGTACCAGAATATTACAGCTATGTTAGATATATTTTTGTTTTTCTTTTCAATTTAAAGTAAAATTAGAAGTCTGTTTTGTAGACTTAGCTGGGTCATAGTCATCAGTGTTGCTGTTTGATACCAGTGATCATATGCACAAACAGAATGAAACATTGCCTGGTCCCGCACCATCCAGACAGAGAATTCACGCATGCTAAGTAGAAAATTTTTATAACAATCTGAGTGATTAACTATGAGAAAGTTGTCAAGCTAAGTTAACTTTCCTCCCAAGAAGGCGTTTGTATTCAGATGATTCCATATAGAAAAATTTCATAACAGTTTGAGTGATTAAATATGAGACAGTTGTCAAGGTAAGTTAGCTTTCCTCACAAGAAGACATTTATATTCAGATGAGAGGAATAGAAAATTTCATTTTTCTAAGACAGTCTAAGTGTGGACATACCAGGAGACTGAGGAGATAGGAATCACATCATGGTTTTAAACCATTTTTGTTTTAGCAACAGAACATTTTTTTCTATAAAATCTTTTTCAGATTTCCTACTGTACAAAAATATATAAAATCCACTGTTTTTTCTTTCCTAGCATTTAAGTTTTTACTGTCTGGCACACTTTGTGGAGACCCAAAGCACCTCCTCAAAGACTTATTGCCTCTCAGAGCCTGCTGTTGTTGTTAAGGCTCAAATCAGGGTTGATAGTTTGATGGTATTTTAACTTCCTGTGTCTTCAAGTGATTTCCAACTCTTAAATAAGATTAGGTTCGTATTTCATAGTACTGATGGGAAAAAAAATTGTGTTGAAAAGAATAAAAGTTAAAAATACTATTCTTACACTAGAGAGAGATCTGGTTTTCGTCCTACCACAGGCATCAGTGGGAAGACTGCCAGAAGCAAAGAGAAGCAAGTCCAACCCAGTGAGGTGATCTACAACAGAGAAAAAAGCGACCGTCAGACAAACATGGTACAGAAAACTGGCAATGAAACTTACAATTTATGGATTACTGTCATAGCGTAGGTAAAGTGCTAGACACACGAGAGTATTATTCAATTCCCACAAGTACTTTAACAGGTAGGTTGCAGTATTCACAACATTTCAGAGCTCAGAGAAATTATGGTATAAGTACCCGGCCTAGTAAATCAAACAGCCAGGATTTAAACTGGAGTCTGACACCACAAAGCAAGTGCTTCATTCAGTGTCTGTCATAGGAGCACTGCAGACTGACTACTATCACTAAGAAAGCTGGCCTGCAATAGTAAGCAAACATTTGAGCCAGATGGGAATTGAAATATTTTTTAATTAGATCAAGACAGAAATTGTCAGTAACCCTGTTACTTGAAGAATACTTTAAATTCTCCAACATGGAAAGAAGGTATTTCTATCTCCCTGCTGCCTCCAGCAGACAGGGGAAACAGGAGAGGACTCCTGTGAAGGCCACTACCAAAGGAAGGAAATCAGGAGGAAACTTTGTGAAGCCCCCCACTCAGCTGGACTGACACAGTGGCCACAGCAATGGGCTCCGGCACAGTAGCCGTTGGGAGGATGGCACTGGACCGCACAGTGTTTGGTTCTGTGGTGCGTATGCTTGGTCTCTAGGAGTAGGAAGTGACGTGACAGTGCCTTACAACGTCAAGAAGATAGAGCCCTGTTGGTGCAGTGGGTCAGGCAGTTGTCTACTAACAGGTGGTTGGTGGTTTGAAAGAAACATGAGGCTGTCTGTTCCTGTAAAGGCTGAGTCTCAGAAACCCTAGGGAGCTGCTCTGCTCTGTCCTACAGGGCAGCTACGAGTTGGAACCAACTCCACAGCAGTGTGTGTGTGTGTGTGTGTGTGTGGAGGGGGGATCAGAGTTGAGTTAACGGCAGTGGGTTTGATTTTTTGTATTATGAATTTATAGCCTACTTCCCAGTGGGGGAAGCTGGTTTGCTAAAGAGCTGGGGAGGTGGCTCAGGGCCAGGAGCGAGGTGACACTTCTGTCTCAAGTCCACAGCACCGCCATCTACAAGACTGTACTTCTCGAGGCTTCTCAGGGCACTTCCTCACCTGCACCAACATACAGACATTCTGGGTCCAGGGAACTCAGGAGGCGCATCACAGAATAGCATGTCAATTCTGCTTCTCTAGCATGAAATCGTCACATCCCAGACTCACTGTGCTCTGAAATACTGTGAATCACTGAAACTTCATAGACAGCCTCAGTCCTCCAGGCAAAAGGACCCCCAGGCTCTTTACCTAAGGTCACTCTCTAGCCCTTTATTAAAGAAGTGAGCACTCCGCTAGCTAAACACACATCCAAACAAAGCAGCTCCTAGCCTGCAATCATAAAACAAAATGAGTACTTGTACCTTTGCTCGAGTCCACAGCTGAGTGAAAAATGGCCAACTCGCAAATGCAATGAGTCCAGCTGTAAGCATGTAGCGGTAGAAAAAACTGAGAACCTAGTAATGCGTTCCAAAGGAGAAATGAAAAGAGAGGTCACTTACGAATAGGTTCATAGAGCTGAGATAAATGTGAAAAAGGTGCAGTGCAGTGCGGTGCATTACTTACTAATACTTCAATTCCCAAGGCGAACACTGACAGAGAGCCGGCAAAACGGCTCAGAGGGAAGGTCGACAGTGATACGGCCAGGTCTCGAATGACTTGAAATCTGTTTAAAAAAATCTTAGGTCTTATGTAGTGCAGAAAAAAAACAATGAGCAAATCTAGAAACCAGTAAATTTTCCATCTATATATTATTCAAAAACTAAGGGAAACTCTGAAAGATTTATTTCACTGACTTGAACTTTAAGGAGCCCTGGTAGCGTGGTGGGTTAGAAGTTGGGCTGCTAACCAGCCTCTCTGTGCGAGAAGGCGGAGGCTTTCTGCTCCCATAAAAACTTACAGTCTTAGAAACCCTTTCCAGGGTTCTCTATGAGCTGGAACAAACTCAATGGCACACAACCACCACTTGAACTTTTTTTCACAAATGTGTACCTATTTTGGGAAAATTTTCATTTCTGAATTACTAGGATAGGATTATAAAGGTTTATCTTCACCATAAACACTAATTAAATGAGCTTGTTTAATCTTACTTTAAATATAGATATTACTTTAAATGTAGACAACTGCTGATAGAACATCAGAAATAAAGTACAACAAACCCAAAAGTCTGCAAATTGAAAACTTAAAAAATTAACCTTATATTAAAGTCTCACCTATCTTAAAGAAATAAAATAAATATTCCTAATCTAAGCAGGAAAAATCTTAAATTTCCTTGTTTCACTCATCTAAATAACTTTTTCCAAACCCACATTATAAAACATCACCCTACACAAGGTCACTATGAGCCGAATGGCACTTAACAACAATTAAATATTAAATGTTAACAAAATATTAGAAACGTAAATTTTTTTATATTTCATCATTAAAAAAAAATAAAACTTCAACATTTTCAATGCATTATTAAATGTTGTTGATGCTGTAAAATGCCATCGAGTTGGTTCTGACTCATAGCAATCCCATACAAAGTTTCCAAGGAGTGGCTGGTGGGTTTGAAGCACCAGTCTTAAAGTCAGCAGTCTACTCCTTATCCTGGACTCCATTATTATCAAATGACCAATTATAGAAGGTCAGTATCAATTGGTTCTTGACCTTTCTGTGATTAAGAAGTATGACTTCATAGTATTATCAAAACTGTAAGATTTGTGCAGAGAAGAAGCACTTCTTCAAAAATTAAGGTAAACTCTAAAAGATTTATTTCAATTATTCACTATTGAATCATAAGAATCTTATCTCCATCTCTTTTAACCAGACCCATCTAGACAAAATGAAAACTATTCAGTGGGGACTCTTTTTTCTCCAGACACTATTAAACTAAACTCCTCCCTTGAAACCTTGTAAGCCAGTCACTTCGTGCCTTTATCACCCCCTCATTTTAGGTAGCCAATGTCTGAGTTGCCCATCCCTATCTATCCAGTGTACAGAGGGGATAGCATTGATACTTGATGTCAAGACTCCTTCACTTTCTGTTGGTATTTAGAGTTACCACCTCCATGAGTATAAGTCAAGTTCATCAAATTGTAGCAATTTACCTTCATTTCCTTTATCAAAAATTGTTTTGTTCTTGTTTCTTTTTTTCCATCTTCTTCTAGTCAAGTTCTGATTATCAAGCCATTAAGGCTAGGTCAAATGGGTACTATCTGCAAATTTGGATGTTCTTGTGTGCCTCCTCTCACTTCCTATCAGCTGGCTGCTTCACTCTCAGCTCTAGCCCTCTGTGGTTATGTCCTTGTCCATGGGCTCAGGTGTCCCCAGGTCTCACCACACTTTGGACCAACCAACCCTTCCTCTTCTCTCTCTCATCGCCAGGTCAACGGGAGTCTATGGAATGTGGTGGAACTCAGCTGATTTCTTCATTGTTGCCTTTTTCCCTTTTCCACTCACCAGTAGACCAATGTGATCACCAGCAAGCTTGTATGCCTGCTCATGTGTTCCCTTTGAGTTTCTGTCTTAGAGGGGAGTTTGTCCTGAAGGAACTTGATTGCTTGCCTTGATGGCTTCCCAGTGAACAGCTTGCTTATTCTTGTTGTAGCCAGTCATGCTGACATTTTTGTTTCGGGTTTCTCCTGATGATCTTTCTTTGAAGATGTATCTTCTGTCATTCTAGCCATTCCAGGCTGAGGATGATCAATATTAATTACTTTACTCTTATCCCAGATTTTTCTGATAAAAGATATACTAAGAAGGAAAGAGGTCACTGCTATCTCTGGGCAATGATCAAAGGAGTTAAAAGGAAAAAGAATTCTTATAGACACGTTTTTGTTGTTAGAGCCCTGAAGTTGGTGCCAAATCACAGTGACCCCGTACAGGGTATCCAAGGCTGTAAATCTTTGGAGGAGCAGAAAGCCTCATCTTTCTCCTGTGGAGTGATTGATGGGCTCAAACCACTGACCCTGTGATCCACAGTCTAGTGCTTATCCTAGTGAACCATCACGCTCCCATGTACAAATTGTTGTTGTTGTTGTTGTTGTTAAATGCCATTGAGTTAGTTCCAACTCATAGCGGCCCTGTACAGGTTTTCCAAGGAGCAACTGATGGGTTTGAACTGCCAACCCTGCTTATCCCTCAGTGCCACAGCAGGACTCCTATACATACACATATTATGTATCTATACATAAATTAAGGGGACTTGACAATTTGACAGTATTATGGATATATCTTTGATGACTATGCTACAGAAATCTAGTCTACCTTAGCTACAGATTTAGCTGAAATGAAGTGAACTACCACGGTAGCAAGATGCATTACTTACTCTCGTAGAACTGCATACCATATGGACACTGGCAACAAACAGTACACGTAGTAAGTCCAGGGACAAGCTTGAATCAGCAGGAAAAATGCTACTAAAATGCCAATAGCTACAAAACTGCATGGCAGGAGACGGCCTGGTTTCTGAAAATCAAACAAAACATTGAAACAGTTCCAAATCCATGCTGATAGCTTTTTGTTTTTGTTTGTTTTTTTTATTTTTAAGACCTTTGATAAAGTTAAGAAAATATGGTGCTTTCTTTCAATGGCTCTACAACCAGATGATTAATCAAAGATGTGCATTCAAACAGAGAAATCTAAAGATCTGTCATTTGAGAAGCCCGTAACAGAAGAGAAAGCTGAATACACATGGAATTTCTGCAATTAGGCAATTGCCAACTAAAAAGTGCTCTGTGTTCTTCAAGTCTGTTTTCAAATAACTAGTTCAAAATTTGGAACACATTTCCCACAGTCATATAAACGACTTTATAACTATTGATGGAGTGCCCTGACTAGCTTTCCAAACCCTGTGGAGCCCACAGTGAACTGTGGGACATAATCTTCAGTTGGGATAATGCTTTCATCTATCCACACTCCAGCTTGACCTGCACTCCACACTTCTCCCTCCACTGCTCAACCTCAGGAGATTCACTCACCCAACAAGCGACCAACCAAGCCGGGGGCTCAATCTAAGGCCCTAGACAGCCTCCATATGTAGAGGGAAGTTGTCAGTCTAAGAACAAGAGTTCTAGCGTATGAAACAGGAGCCTGAAGCGGGTACAGAATATGACTGTGGGCTCGAGAGGAGGCTGAGAACACCTGGAGAGCGTCCATTCCTACCTTTGCTTTGTTGTTGTTAAATGCCATCAAGTCGGTTCCAACTCATAGTGACTCTCGATTCCTCCTGTAGGTTTCTGAGGAGCGGCTGGTGGGTTTGAACCGCCAACCATATTTAGCCAAAGCTAAATCAGATTAAGTTTAACAACTGCATACTGGAAGGAGGGGGACTTAGGGAGGAAAAGGAGATTTTTTTTTTCTTTTTCTACTTCCTCTCTACTGGCATAAAATATCATCAGAAGGGAAGTAAGAAATTAGGATAAATTAGGGCACAGTTGTCATAAAGAGGGTTGTGATGAAGAGCCAGGCATATGTAATTGAAATCCTGATTTGATAAGTTTCCAGCTCCTAAATTTTTATATCAGATAAATTTAGATATATTGCTCTGAAATTATTTTCTGAACACCTATAACAGAAAGATATGTAATATTTGTTTGTTGTGTTGTTAAGTGCTGTCGAGTTGGTTCAAACTCATAGCGACTTCGTATAGGGTTTCCAAGGAGCAGTTGGTGAGCTTGAACCACCTAACCCAAAATACCACACCTTCAACATAATAAGTAGTTATAAGAAAGAACAGAAAAAGAACACTTTTAATACCATAAACCAAAGAAAAAAACACCCTACTGCCAACTCATAACAACTCTATATAGAATTTCATGTGGTGCTGTAGGATAAACACAGGACCACCAGGTTGGTTTGAATCACAGGAGTCAGTGATTCAAACTTACCAGCTGCTCCTTGGAAACCCTATACAGGGTTGCTATGAGTCAAAAACGAGTCAACGGCATTTAATAACAACAATGCCACGTCTCACATATTATATGAATGCATTACTGTTGATTTGATTACATCCTTTTTCTTAGTCCTAGCGATTTTACGTAGCCCTGGTGTGGCACAGTAGGATAAGCACTTGGATGCTAACCACAAACTTGGCAGTTCAAATTCACGAGGTGCTCCTCAAACACCCTATCTGTGCAGGGTCACTATGAGTTGGAATAGACTTCATGGCACTTAACAATAGTGATTTTATACCTTTACCTGAGTCTTCAGTATATTCTATATATAATTTAAGGCTTACCTTAACTTCTTTCCTAACACCTCCAGTAAGGTCAGAATGAGATTTGATGATTAGCAAAGAAGCATAAGATGTCCATCCCACAAAACCAAGAGCAACATTGACTCCCAAAAAGAATCTGTCGTAAGTGTGATAATAAGACAATCCTTTCAGTGCGAGATGAATCAGCTCCTTGCAAAGGGAAACCTATGGAGAAAGGAAATAAAACTTGCCACATGCAAAGAATAAAAATGATTTTTTTTAAACGGCATATTATAAAGTTTCTATAAGCATTAAAATTAGAGCAACTAACTGTAGATGATGGATCAGCAATAGATTTTAATTTTTCAAGTATCTTCTTGCAAAGTACAAGAATTCCTGAACAAAATGAACTTATTTCTTAATCGTGATTAAAAAGGGAGACCAAAAGAAACATCTTTCTAGGTGCAATCCTTTAAAGGTATTCACTTTTAAGGAAATGATTTTTAAACGACACAAGAAAAGAAATGACAGGTCTCAAGAACAGGTCCCAACATAAAACTGTTCACTTTCTTCTATGAGATTACCCGAATCTCTCACAAACCATCACTTAATGTTTTAGAGAAGAGTGACCGACCCATTCAAGATCAAAACAGAAATAAGCAGTAGAAATGGGTAATATTAGGAAAGGTATTTTGGAAACAAAATAAAACTCTCTCTTACTTTAAAATCATGAGACTGTTTGACAAAAAAAAACAATTCATGAAAAATAGACTAGTGTAGGAGTTGAGAAGAGTAAAAATTCCCAACATGAATTGTTAGACTATTTATTGTATATTGATAATTCCAAATGTACAAATATGTCATGGTCTAAAATATTGTTATGTATTAAGTATGGTAACAGAATCTTGGAATATATTGCTCATTATTAAAAATGGCATAGGAGTAGTTCATTTTCATTGTTCACCAAAAAAACTGACTCATAATCGTCTTTGAAATAACAGGGGATGCTCAGTGCTAACAGAGTCACTCTGGATATCCAACTCTTTCTTGAGGGATCCGGAAAGCTCCCTGGTCTTCCCAACTTTATTTTCATTTCCATGCCTCATCCCACTTCCAAAATGATGACCAGCAATTTATCTATCAAGGTCGAAATAAAAAACACCCAAGCCCACTGCTACGATACCAATTCCAACTCATAGCAACCCTATAAATCTTTACAGGAGCAGACAGCTTCATCACTCTGCTTCAGAGTAGCTGTGGGTTTGAACCGCTGACCTTGTAAGCTGCCCAATGCCTAACCCACAGATTCACAAGCATACTTACCACTTTATCATACTGTCCCTGTTTTATGTAAGATCTTGCTTTTCTTAAAAAGTTCTGCTGTTTAGAATCAGACAGTAGTCTACAAAGGAAAAAAAATGCAGATTTAAAATGTTGCCTCATTTATTACATATACACACAGAGGGGACTTCAAAAAGTTGATGGAAAAATGGAATTAAAAGATAATGGAGGAGTCTTCATGTATGTACCAATGAGGACGTGAGAGGGAGTGAAAAAGTATTGCTACTAGGGTTTCAGGTCATACATGCACAGGATCATTCCAAACAAATCATGTTAAAACTTGCCCCTGTGATCAGCACATGACTGCAGACAAATTCTCTTATAAATACACCTAAGGAGCTCTGGTAGCGTAGTGGCTGCAAACTGCAAGGTCAGCAGTTCGAAACTACCAGCTGTTCCATGGGAGAAAGAAGAGGCTTTCTGCTCATATAAAGATTTACAGCCCCAGAAACCCTGTACAGGGTCACTATGAATCAGAACCTCCATGGCACATAACCACAACAGCAACAGTCTCATTAGGGTGCCGTCATAAAAAAAAAAAAGCCAACCTAAACAGTGGCTTCCAAGGGAATCTGCTGGGTCAGTTCATTTCAAGGCAGAGAAGTCAGCTCAGAAAGTTATGTAGGTTGGTTTGGGAGACTCCAAAGTGGTAATCTTGATAAATTTTCTCACAGGACACACGACAATCGTGTGAGATTTATCATGGAGAAGTTTTAAGAAAACTGAATGCGAAGGTGAGAAAAAGGCCAGGAGAGTTGCACCTAGGAATTTTTTCCATCACAACACTCGGTATACAAAGCACCCGGCTCATCCTTCAAAGGTAGCAAGGGAAATCTTGTCAGGAAACCTGACCCCATCTACTCTACAGCCCTAGATCTAACCCCTTCAGACTTCTTTTTCTTCCCCAAAATGGAACACAGTTGGAGTCCCTGGAAGTTGCTAGAACTGCCATTTTGATGTAAGTCAAAGAATTCTTCAGGGAGTTGTTCATAGGTGCCATGGGGTCAGGTCAGTGACTCATAATGCCAGAGGCTCATAATGACCCTGTACAGGGATTCCAATGAGCGCTGGTGAGTTTGGATCTATGACCTGTGGTTAGCATTTCAGTGCTTATCTTACAGCACCAACCAGGATTTCCCAAGGGGAGGGGGAAAGGGTTGTTGTTAAGTGCCATCGAGTCAGGTCAGACCCATAGCGACCCTGTATAGGGTTTCCGAGGAGCAGCTAGTGAACTTGAACCACCGACCTTGCAGTTCAAATGGCTTTGCAGTCTGGTGCATTAACCCGCAGCGTCACACTAGGATTTTCCGGGGGGCAGGGAGGGTGTTAAAGAGATGAAAATACCTTCTTTAGAAGTATATACACCTAGATGAATAGCTTCAAATTTTATAGTATTTTTCTTTAATAAAGGTTTCTGTGACTTGTAGCAATACTTTTTTACTCTCATCTGTTTATGTATGTGTGTGTGTGTATATATATACACTATATATTTGTTGTTGTTGTCAAGTGCCATCGAGTCAATTCTGACCCTTAGCAACCCTGTATACGGTTTCCAAAGAGCAGATGGTGAGCTTGAACTGCCAACCTTGAAGTTTAAACAGCTTTGCAGTCTGGTGCCACAGCAGGACTCCATTTTATATATATAATGTATGTATGTATGTATGTATAAATACACATACACACACACACACGTATAAATATATAAAAGCCCTGGTGGGTTGCACCCAGACTGCTAACCAAAAGTTCAGCAGTTCAAATCTACCAGCTGCTCCTTGGAAACTCTACAGAGGGTCACTAAGAGTTAAAACTGACTCGACAGCACTTAACAACAAACAACTATATCTATTCACAAAAGGGGCTTCAAAATGTTCATGGAAAAATTCCATTACCTTTTAATTCATTTTTCCATCAACTTTTTCAAACCCCTTCTTACATAATTTTTTTCAGAACTGAAAAAAACATGGTAAAAAATTAGGTAAAAATGGAAGAGACTCTAAACTAAATTGTACTGTCACCTGTTATCTGCATTCCCCACGGAAAAGCTCAGAGTTAAACTTAGCTTTCTTGACTCTAAGTATGAACTACTGACTACATGTCTGTCCCTTTTGTAGAAGACATGTAACACTCTGGCTAACAACGAAAGCCGAACTCACAGTAACTAACAGAACAGAAGGTACACGGTACGAGTCCCAGGCTTCATCTCAACAGGACAAATCCACCGTGGTGGTGCTTTTCATCCCTGAGTCTGAACCCCTATCATCAAAGAGCTCTGGGCAGAGTTAGGGTTCATTCCTATACTACCCCAGTTACTGTTTGGGGCACTCTCTTTCATGGATTTTCCATCATTTTTCTCTGCTTGTTTTACCACAAGAGAAATCTTAAGTAAACAAAAGTGATGTTGTTGTTAAATGCCATCTGATTGGTTCAGACTTACAGTGACCCTGTGTAGGGCTTCCAAAGCTGTAAATCATTTCAGAAACATAAAACCTCATCTTTCTCCCATGGAGTGACAGATGGGCTTGAATTGCTGACCTTGTGGTTCAAAGTCCAGTGCTTATCTTACAGAACCATTGTACTCCTAAAACAAAGGTGACACACCTGAAAAAAACACTGAGCAACCTGAAACAAACTGTCTAAGGGCATGAAGCGTGTAGAATGTAGAAACTGACGAAACCTAACCAGAACTCAATTACATGTAAAATAAGCACATTAAAACACAAAATTGTATACACACACCTCTTAACGAAAACATACACTCCTAAATTGAATACCTTTATATTTTAAAAGTATTGTTGTTGCTAAGTGCCATCAAGTCGGTTCTGACTCATAGCAACCCTGTGTAGGATTTCTAAGAAGCAGCTGGTAAGCTTGAACTGGCGACTTTGTGGCTCGAACCGACTTTGCAGTCCAGCGCATTAGCCTACAGAGCCACACCAGGACTCCTTTAAAAGTATAGGAACAGTTATTTAAGGATATATTATGCTGACTTCTATGAAACTGATATTTTTGTATATCAAAAACTACTAAATTAAATACTGGCAAGTTCATCTGGTTCAACCTAATAGAATCCTCTGTCTTTTCCTGTTTGGTCCTGGCAATACCTGAAGAGGTAAGATGGAAAATCTTCAGAACCAAAGCAATGATTACCAATCTTACTAACAATCTGCTTTACTCATTTGCTGCCATTTGTTTCTAGAAAGATGGAGGGAGTTGTCAGACTTTTTCAGAATTCAAAACTCTGCCTATAAAATGCATATACCCCCAAATTTTTACATATTATTATTATTTTTAAATCATGAAAGGGCTCCCAAACACCTATCTAGGGGTCCCCTGGATTCTCGGAACCCCTAAGAACCTTGCCCACATTAAGGATCTTTCAACTCACTGGGTTTTCTCTTTTTTGGACTTTCAGGAAATTCCCCACCCCTGCAGGGTCACTAACAACAAGAAGAAGCACTGATTGGAAGCTGGAGTAAAAGGTGTGAAGAGGCAGGAGCACATGAAAGGAAACAAGTGACTTCAAAATGTCCCCTGGACCTGGTCCCCTGACTCTTCATATACCACACACTGGGAACTATTTTCCTAAGAATAGTCTTAGAAATGGAATTACACTGAGCAAAGGCATTTTTGAAAACAGAAGGCTATACTCTAAGTCAGAATCACAAAATTTCTACAAAAGCCTTTTACTTGATCTCCTACAGCCCTTACTCTGATCCACACAGATACCAAAACTACTGAATGCGTCCTAAAATTCTGACTGCGTGCTAAAATACTGATTACTTACAGCTGATATGGGCCTCCTGCAGTCTACTTCAGTGATTCCAGACTCCCTAGACTAACTACTGATGGCCCTCCCGTGTATTCTATCTAGTTTCCTATTATCCCCAGGGTAAACAGCCTCAGCGGTACAATGGGTACACTCTTCACTCCCCACCTATCCAGTACACAATCTGAGTCCTTGCTTAGCGGGCCTCCCTCCCCAAATCTCAGCTCACATCGTTAGCACTTTCTTCTAGTCTAATGATCAATTTATTTCTCTCCAATTAAATTTTATTCTACATGTGGGCCAAGAAAATGTCTCCAATTTCCATTATATGTCTATAGCAACACTTGGCAAAGTGCTAAGCACATAAAATGAATCAATACATTTTAGCTGATTAAAATGCTATCGCAATATTACAGACCTAAAAATGGAAGAAAAATAGGAGCTCAACATACATGGTCATTCATAAAGCACCTGAGAATTTGCTAACTTAAATAAAAAGATGACAATAAAGCTTGTGTAGAACTAAATACTTAACTACTTACTACACATTCTCCCTACCACTCCTCTGTCAGCTTATCACACAGTGGTGGCTTCTGTGTTGCTATGATGCTGAAAGCTATGCCACCGATACTTGAAATACCAGGAGGGTGACCCGTGGTGGATAGGTTTCAGCAGAGGAAGAGGAAGGAGAGGTGGGCTACCTCTGAATTTTAGCCACTGAAAACCTTATGAATAGCAGCAGAACGTTTTCAGATATAGTACCTGAAGATGCAAACATTACAAATAGCAGTAGAACATTGTCCCTCAGGTTAGAAAAAAAAAACCAAATACAACTAGGTAAGAGCTGTCTCCTCAAAGTAGAGTTGACCACAATAACATGAATGGAGCAAAGTTTTTGTACCTTCATTTGCTGATAGGGAAGAACTCAAAATGAGGAGAAACCACTGCAAACACCCATTAACAATTAGAACACTGGCTGTACATAGTATGAATCTAGGAAAACTGGAACTTGTCAAAAATGAAATGGAAAGCATAAAGATTACCATCCTAGGCATCTGTGAGCTGAAATGCACTTATATGCCCATTTTGAACCCAAATATTTTATGGTTTAGTATTGTAGAAAGACAAATTCAAGAGAAATAGTATCACATTCATCCTCAAAAGGAGTATGGTATGTCAAGGTCTATCTTGAAGTACAATGCTATCTGTGATAGGATAATATGCATACACCTACAATGAAGAACAGTTAATACCACTATTATTCAAATTTATACAACAACCAATAATAGCAGTGA